GTATTTATTTTGGAAAATTATACATAATAGTGCATAAAAATATACATTTAAAAGGATACTGAAATTTAAAAATATAAATTTGTTTGTATCAATGATAAATGAATAAAAGAGCGATGAAAAGAGCAAAAGATCAATTGTTGAATTTAACAGAAAGAAAGCATCCGTGTGTTTTTTAATTTGTTGAGTTGCCAATCTTTCAAATATCACCAATCGGTGAGAGTTTCAGTTCTTGTATTTGTCCCTTTTCGTGCATTACTATCTTTCCATATATCAAACGAATGTGATTCCGAACACGGATTTCAACTAAATGATAGCATCAATGCATCATTGCACCATTTCGTTTTCTCAATAGATGAAGAAACAAGAAAAGAGCGAAAAGAAAGAGCGACATTAATTAAATTCACAGCAGTTTCGAATTCCTCAGAAATTTCTATTAGGCAGTTTTCGTTCCAATCAATGAAACAGCGAAGAATTTGAAATTAACATGTTGTCTTTTAATATGTTCATAAAGGGATCAAGGGAGTTAATTTTTTTTTGCGTTAGAGACCTGAATGAGGGCGATGATCTCAGAAGTACCTAAATTTTTTTCCTAACAGTTGCTTTTTCTTTATTAGCTAATTATTGGTGATATCGAGTATTCTATTTCTTTTCATTCAATAGTTATTTCAAGGAAAAGATCAATTTCGAAAGTTTATTGTCGTTATTATCAGGCTGGTGGATCGTCTTCGAGTACAACAGCTTCCGTTGCGGTAACTGTTCATCGTCTGAGTGGCGCTAACGGTCATCAAAGTATATGTCGCAAGAATACTAACGGCACATCAAATACATCTGTTTCAAACGGTTTTGCTAGCGGTTCAACCGTTAACCGATTTGTTCCAAACAGTTCCGTCGCCGGATCACCACTTCGTGGTCACTCACCGCGTACTGTACTGAACAGTAAATTACAAAATGGTGGATCTCCACGATCATCTCTTGCTAGGTAAATTCACTTATAATCATTCACATAAATAGAATTGTTTGTTTCATTTGAATATTACATTTCAACTTAAAATTAATTCTTATGGAAAATGTCAGAGCTGTAATTATACTGCGATACGCATTCACATATGCAGTAAATGTTTATATACTCAAATTGTTTATATACTGTTTATATGTTGTTTATACGTTTATATACTCAAATATATACTCAAACTATATACTGAAAAAAGTTAATTGAACGACTTATAATCTTTACATTGTAATCTTTAATGATTATAATCTTTAACATTATAATTATAATCTTTAATTAATTATTAGTGATTTGAGTTTTTAATTTAAATGTTTTTCGTGGTGCGATTTTTCGTTACATTTTTTTTGTGCTTTGCTCAATACTTATTTCAGTTATTCATCGTATGGTTCAGTAGTAAATCAAACTAATGGATACAGTCCGACATATATCAGGCGATCACCTCGTCAGGTGATCTTTTAACTACTTTAGATATAAAATATTACTAATTATTAATGAACTAACACTGCTACTTTTAATAATTTATATGATTTATTATTATTTTTTAATCTTTTAGTTGTCTTAAGTTAAAAATCAACTTTATTATTTTTATGATGGATGACAATAGTAGGATATCCAATATGTTTAAGTTGCTTAAGTAAAGGCTGAAAAATGAAAAGTTAAATTGGAGATAAGTAGGTATGTATTGGTTAGTTAAAATCAGATTTAAAGTTTTGAAAGTAGCAAGAATGAACAAATTTCATTTCAGTCATCATCCCCGATTAGTGAGGACTGTTTAGTGGTAATTCGTATGCGAGCAGATGCCCAGGGCCGATACGGTTTTAATGTGAAAGGTGGTGCTGATCAGAACTATCCTGTTATTGTAAGTCGAGTTGCGCCTGGTAGCTCAGCTGATAAATGTAATCCTAGGCTAAATGAAGGAGATCAGGTATGTTTATCAAAGAGAAAGCGGTTGGTTCTGTTAAATGAGATTATTTCAGTTTATATTAAAAGTATTTCGTGTTTTAATTATCTTTTTACAAAACCTCATACTGTAACATTCAAATGAGAATGATTGCATTAAGTCAACAAATTTATATTTTTTTAAAATATTAAACTGCAGGTTTTATTAATTAATGGTATGGATGTGTCTTCGATGTCACATGAAAAAGTTGTTCGATTCATTCGTGCCACACGTGATTCACCCAAAGGAGAATTGGTACTTACAATTAGGCCAAATGGTACGCTTTATCAGATTATAAAATATCTCAGTTGAATTAAGTGAATCAGATAATTCTTCTATTTATCTTAAAAATTACAGTTTATCGATGCGGTGATGATGTCGAAGAATCGGATGCGCAACATTTACCTGAAGTACCTCACGTAGCTGACACAGTGCCGCGTTCTGATAAACTATCACAATCTCTTATTATGCTCAAAGAATCCTTATCATCTGGGAAAATTATTACACAGTTTGAGGTCGGTTCTGTCAATTTTGATTTGCTATCTTTTGATACAAACTGGATTCTTCACTATTAGCCTATGGTTTGAAATTTGAGTATAAAAAAGGAAGATAATATTTTCTTTTGCTATCTAAATAATTTTAGCGTTATGTGTTGTTTAGAGTGGAAAAAAGAATTTCAGGAATCCAGTATCTTTAAAAATTCAAGAAAAATTTAATCAAATAAGTTTTTAAGACAAAGATATGGAAACAAAGGTTATTTTCAAATTTTGGCATAAAGCAAGAGAAAAGTGTCGTATGATTTTTTAAAAAATTTTATTTTATTCTTTAATTATAGCAGTTGTATCGGAAAAAGCCGGGTTTAGCAATGGAAGACTGTAAATTATCATTAAATGTTAATAAAAATCGTTATCGCGATGTGTGCCCATACGATAGTACTCGCGTAAAGATAAGCGCGCCTTCTGGTGATTATATCAATGCATCTTTTGTCAATGTAGGCTTTCCATTTTTCTAGCTATCATTTTAATTGTTATCTACTATTGCAAGCAGTTAATTATCTTATTTTCAATATACCAAAGTGCTCTTGTCTTTTATTTTATAGTCTTATCAATTTTGTAATTGAAATAATCAATGAACTGAATGAATGAGGATTGAATTGTGATAAATAAATTTCATGAAATCTTTAAAATGATATGTACAGAAAAGGAATTTTCGTCTGTAAATGATTAAAACTTAATAAAGTTAATTATATTACTATTAAATACTAATAAGGAGTGAATTTAACAATCAATAAATTATTGTACTGCAGATGGAGATCCCTTCAAGTGGTATTGTGAATCGATACATAGCAGCTCAGGGGCCACTTGCGCATACATCCGGTGATTTCTGGTACATGGTATGGGAGCAGTTGTGTACAACTATTGTCATGCTAACTACTACCATTGAACGAGGTCGTATTAAATGCCATCAGTATTGGCCTAGACTTTATGAAAATCACGATTATGGCCGGTTGCAAATTTCTTGCATCAGTGAACGGGAAACTGTCAACTGTGTATATCGCGAAATATCAATTCAAGATATGATGGTAAGCTAATTTTTAATTGAACGTTATTAATATGAAGGATCTACAATGAGTCTAACTTAATTTCAGCTCCTTTTCAGTCTAATTAAATAACTGAAGAAAATATTAAATGCATTGCAACAAAAACTTTTCATTTTTTTAAAAAATTTGCAGACAAAAGAGGAAAGACGGGTAAGTCAAATGCAGTACACAGCATGGCCTGATCATGGTGTGCCTGATGATCCGAAACATTTTATCGAATTTGTCGATGAGGTTGGTTCAGATTTCCATTCTGTCAAGAAATCTCACAAAATGTTATTTAAATTATTAGGAACTGATTCAAGTTGAAGATCAAACTCTTATATCAGTGAAGAGTTAAGAAATCTAGGTTCGACGTGCTCGAGCAGGTTCAGTAGACCCAATCGTCGTGCACTGTAGTGCAGGAATCGGACGAACCGGTGTATTAATTTTGATGGAAACAGCTGCTTGTCTGGTGGAAGGTAATGAACCGGTATACCCTTTAGATATTGTCAGAACAATGCGTGATCAACGAGCCATGCTTATACAAACGCCGGTATCGTTTTTTTTCTCAGATTCCTTAAAATTTTTGAAGTGGAGGAGTTTTTGCCAAATAGAAGAAGGTAGCATATGCATATTAATTAAAATAACATGTTAAACAGATATCTGAAGATTGTTGTCTGATCCCAAGAAAATGTTAAATATTAACTTAGATCAAGTCCTAATTTATTTGCAAAGCTTATCAAGCAAAAGATTTAGGTTTCATTCGAATTTTGTTTCAGAGAGGTCGAGTAAATTATGTAATGAATCGAATTAAAACTAGTATTTGGAAAAGTCTGATTAGCGACATCCTTGAAAAATAACACATTTTAAATACTATAATTCGTTTAACAGTTTAAATATTTGTGGCATATATTTTAAAACACAAGAAGATATTCACAGCTAATTGAACCGAGAAGTAAATGAGTTTTTACTTAAATAAAAAGGTATCACTCTCTATGCTTAATTTCTTATTAGCCAGTGAAAAATTTCGTAATCAGATTATGGGTCTGCAAAACTCCATATGGTTTTAATAATGAGCATTTATTAATTGATGATCAATAAATTTCAGGGTCAGTACACATTTGTATGCGAATGCATTTTGCGTGCTTATCACGATGGTCTGATCAAGCCATTAGCAGAGTACTGTATGCGATCTTCCTGACGACAGCAGTATATTAACATTATTACTATTATTTACATTATTATTATTGTATTATTATTGTGATATAATGCTGATCTGTCTGTCTGTATAGCTGCATATTTCACGTATTACGCTGTTAGATCAAGTTTTAACAAAATTTAATGTTCTTTTTTAATTTTTTGCTGACCACTGATCTTAGCAATAAGAGTTTAGTTAAAGTTAGATCAAACAGTATGTCAAGAGAAACTTCATCTTGACCAGACTTTCAGCTTTTTCTTATCCTATCGTCAATTATTTGTTTGCCAAATTATTTTTAATCCAACTGTAAGAACACTATACAACTACTGATTTTTTTTCTACTCAAAACAAACACATTTGAAGATCACATTACTAAGGCTGTCCTATTATAATGTTGGATCTATGTCAGTAGTTTTTTCATCATTCTTGAAAGGTTAGTGTGGAGATTCTCGATCAAAATTTCCATGAGTAGGAAGAAAAATTGGACACGGATAACAGTTGCTCGACCAGCAGTATCAGTCCTGGTTTGCTTTCTTTGCAGTGTATAATAAACATATGGATTTGTTCAGAATTAAGCCTAAAAGAGAATTCCCAAGTGAAGAAAAAGTGAGATATTGAAGAATTCATAAGATTTGGGAAGAATATAATGAAGCATTCCCCGAAATTTTGACTTAACCTGTATAAATTTTACTGTTGTATATGTCTGCGAGGTCAACTATACTCAATGCAATATTCATTACCATGAAATGTTCATGTTGATGTCTGTAATGCACAGTACCCAGTCTATAAACGAATATTTAAGCAATCAGAAGAGGGCCAAAAATATTTCATTAGAATTTTTTTTCAATGAGCAATTCAATTCACTTTAGAAAAAATGAAAGTATCAGAATCACGGTTAATTACAACTCAGTCCATGGATGTGCATTTACGAAGCAAAGGATCCCCTACTCTTCCATATAAACTGGATGTTGGAAGTTATGACTTGCCACGTTCAAATATGTTTGAGTAAACACAGCGATTCTTAATCTCGACAGAGTACAAAACATTTAGGTACGATATCACTACTCCATCTTTTCTTTCATCGCAAATTTGTAATGTATCCACATAGCCTTTCAAGTATGAAGAAAAAAAGCTACTAATCAAAGTTAAGTACACGAGCGAAGGCATATAAAACAAGCCTCGCCAGTATCGTAAACGATATAATAATACCTATTCATTTAAAACATAAAATGATAAGTGTGCGACGAATAGAGATGTTACAGATAACTGGTGGTAGGTGATTATCAAAAAAAAAAAAAATATGTGACATCATAAGATCCGTTTCTACAAAAAAAAATGGTACTAGAAAACAGCATGTACAAAACTGTTGCAACATGAAAGAACAGTTAAAGATAAATATTAACGATCGAGGATCGAGATTTATGCTGCTTCTATCAAAGCAGAAACACTCACTCAATTTTCAACAAAAAATTGATAATTTTAGTCATAACTCGAAAACGCCAACAGAATCTGATAAGATGAAGTAATAAATAATTATGCCGTACTGATGGCTTGCACCAGTCCCTGCTTTTCCAATATTCTAAGGCGCTTCTCCACTGCATTCTTATATTTCGAAAGAACTAGTTTATCTGCTTCACTCGACACTTGCTCTGACAATGTATGCAGCATCATATAGGCCGTCTGATACCTGAAAAACCACAATTTCAGTTAGCAACTACTTGGATGAAAAAAGTGTACAGCAGTGAAATTCTTAAAAGCTGCCAATATATCATTATTTTTCACTGCTACCGATTTTTACTCTATCATTTTACTTCTTGAATATAAATTTATGAATCGTATCATAGGTTAAATAAACATTTATATCCGACAAATCGATATTTTCTTCCAATGTGATGTCCTTTCATTGCTTTGAAACAAAATGGAAACAAAAAAATTGACAAATAATAGTGCAAAGATGCAGAAAAATAATATACAAGTACCGCTGAGAACAAAGGTGTGGATTCCCAAACAGTTCATCCAGAGCAGCACTCTGACAAAGCTGAATGGCATGTTTATACATAATTCGTTCAGCTGATATTACTGCCATAGCAGGATTTGGACCTGGCAGTCCAAGTGATGCTAACTCCTGTGATCGTATCTGAAATGTCATCGCAAACTGTTACTCAGGAAATTCAACTTGAAACTTTATACCAAAAACTTTTTAAAAGAATTCTGACTAAAACTCTTTCAAGTTTGTGAAAAGCGACCTTTTTGTCGTAGATACTTTTTGAAAACTAAATGATGAACCAAAGTCAAGATAAAGGCTTCATATTTCACATCAAGAACCATAATATTTAAGTCATTTGCAAGTTCCATGTCTTCAAAAATAAAAGAAGCATTCGAAATAAATGATTACCAAACACTGATGATATTTATCATTAAGCTGGTTTAGTACATGTTGTACAGCTGGTGATGGGTGCAAAGTTTCTGATGCGACCTGCTTCTGAGCAAGGAGAAGAGCTGAAGAAAGCATATGAAGCGCTCGAACATATACAACTAGTTGCTCTGCTCGACGATACGCATCCGATCGTTCTTTCTTCTACAATAAAATTTTATGAAACATCAACCAGCCTAAAAATTTAAAATGAAAAAGCTTAAGTGAAGTGGGCTCATAATCACATGAAAATATCCAAAAGAACTTTATAATATTAAAAAGAATTTACTTTCCGTGGCGGCATCGAAAGAGATACAAAATTTCCCCTGTCTTCAGCAACATTAATAAGTGTCTCAACTAACTCCAGTACAAACCGCAACTTTGCTAGCACTTGAACATGTTCTGCCTGGAAATTGAAATATTTGCACTTATTTGATATAAAAATTAAACGAAAGCTTTACAAGCTTACAACTCAGTAGGAACAAAAAAAATCCCAAAATAATATAAATTTAATTCACGAAATCACAAAAATCCATTACGAAACTCAACTGTTAGTATCATGCAATTGAAAAATAGTCAACAACAAGCATGTAAATGTATACAGAGCAAAAAAAAACGAACTCCCATAAGAGTCTCCTGCTCCAGCGACGGAGCAATATCGTTCAATGACGGAATAGCATTTTGATTGTCTGGTGCTGATGCATTAGTATTTGATATATCATGAGCAATCTGAGTGCCTGTACAGATTCCCTCATCTGCCGATTCGCTTTCCATAAGCTGCGAACGAGAAGATAAATCTGTAACAAACGAAGTAAAAGTTAATAACTGGAAAGTCGATATATCAGTACCTAGTTAAATCAAAATCGTTAGAGCAGTATGTCACTGTTGCAGACTATCAGTTTGAGCACCCAGACAATTGAATGCTTAAAACGAATCTCAAACTTCTCAAATTATATTTTGAAAAGTGACTTGGAATCCTCAATAGTAGAAGTATTCTGCTAGTATGTTTCATAATAATTTGAAAAGTTTACTGGATGCAAATGGAAGATGGATCGGTTGGCTCAGCTCAGCGTCCTCTTCTTCCTCACTCAGACTGCTACTGTAAAGAAAAACATTGTTTTTATAATTGAAATGGATGTTCTAAATTTGTAATATGTAACGTTTTATTATCAAATATGATGCTAAAAAGTTAAGTCGACTGACAAATTTTTTTTAATTAAAGTTGAAAAAAGCTGAAAACAGCACTATTTAATTTTTTCATAAATTACAAACCTCGTTGAAATTTCATTGACAGCTCGTGGAGTTACACGAACAGTAAGCGATGCACAAGATCGCGGTGGTGATACCGAAAGATATTTTAGATTATCCACTGGAGGTACAGGTGAGGGTTGTGGTGAACTAGGTCTCACATCCACTTCTTCCATAGAAGATTGAATGTTTTCCATATTGCTGTTTTGTCTTACTTCTGCTTTTTCTTTGTTCGTTACCGTTTCATTCTCAGAATTAGTGTGAACAACATTTATAGCGTCCAGCTCCGGAACTGCTTCCAAAATTTTTCTATTGCAGCCTCCGCTGATAGCATTAGAAGTAGCAGGAGTTAATTCCGGTGATGAGCTAGTAGCAGAAGTAGTTGCAACAGTATCAATGGTATATCGTCGGGACCGACTTGGTAACGCTGTATCGTACTCCGATGACCGTGAATCTTTCACGATAAACTGTGCTGAAATTTCAGTTACTGAAATGTCAGAAATATTAGGAGATCTTCATAATAAAGTTGGATTTCTATTCTAAAAGAAGGGCTAAACAAGAAAATTATAAAAACAAAACCAATCAAAACACAATCAAACTAATTTTTTGTCTTTAGTGAACTAATTAAGAAAAGAGATGCAAAACAATCTAATGAAGATTAAAATAGAAATCTCAGAAGGAGGCATACCCTAAAACCTAAAAAAAGTTACTAGATTTGTTTAGCTAAAGATAGTAAAAATAACAAAAATGTAACGTAAAAGATATTTTTAGAGTCGCGTAGAAATGAAAAACTTATTTGACAACTAAAAATTTTAATTTGAATTCGGTAGTATGCATGGTAATGTATTTGAATTTCAACAAAATGAAATGAAAAAATTAAGTAGAAACTAACTTGTGGGTAGACTAATACATTCAATGGAAGGAACTTTGGGCTCAGCAGTAGTAGCAGTACAACCACTCACACTTCGTGCACTACATCGCGGAATGCTTGTCATATGATTATGCTGTGTGGAAGAGCCATTTCGCCTTTCTTCCATTTTTGCGTATGCCAGCCTCTGGCTTGGTACTGGTACAGCACGTGCATTAGATGCAGCATTAAAAATCTGAAACACTAAAGAATTTAAAGCAACTTTAATCCATTTCACAATTAAAATGGCTTCGGAGGAAAGCACTACCTATCCTACAATATTGATGAATAGTATATTGAAGATACTTCTAGGGATAAAAAGCCAAAAAGTTCGACGCATCTTGTAGGGCAATGGTAAGTCGCACAAGAACATGAGAATCGCATGTAAATGATGACAACGAAAAATGATTTACAGACAATACCTTAATCTGTTTG